CCAAATGCAGGCAAATGCAACTAGTTCAGTTAGGAAACATGGTTGGCATGGGTGAGTTGAGCCAAAGGGTCTGTTTCCATGCTGTATAACTTTATAACTCTATGATTCTATTCAAATGTTTAGTCTGAATATTTCGCCTGGACATACAGAGATGTAACTGCAAATTCTTTTGAATTGCACTTTAATCCAGAGTAAGCATTTGACACATACACAGACATGCACATATATAGACACACAGAAACACACATACAAGACACCCACAAATACACAAATACACATACAAAAGCATCCACAAATACACATACCGATACACATATAGACACCCACAAATATACAGATAGGCACACACACACACACAATTTCATCAAAGCTTCTCAGAAAACATGTACTAAACCCACGACTAAGTCCATCTAGAAGGAAAAGGATAACATGGTAGCACCATCATCTGCATGTAACCCTCCAAGCCACACACCATTATGACTTGGAAATGTATCTCTGCTCCTTCTGGGTCTTGGGTCAAAATTCTGAAATTCCCTCCCTAATAGCAATGTGGGTCTACTGACATAAATGGATTGCAGTGATTCAAGAAGTCAGCTCACTGTCACCTGTTCAAGGGCAACTGTGGATGGGGAATAGATGCTGCAGCCAGCATTGCCCATATCCCATGAGTGAATTACAAAAAAAATCCAAACATGCAGCATGGAGGTGTATCAGAAATAAATGCAACCAATGATTGGAGGCAAATGTACAGCCAGAAAATTTGAAAGAATAACCAGATTGGACCAGTACTACTAACAATATTACCAGCTTGCTTAGCTCTCCTCGACAGACTATTCAAGAAGGGAAAGAGGGATAATTCAGGAAACTACGGATTAGTGAGTCTCACATCAATGGTTGGGAAACTATTGGAGAGAATTCTTAGGTATAGGATTTACGCACATTTGGAAAAGCATGATAATTGGGGACAATCAGCATCATTTTGCACAGGGCAAGTCATATCTTACTAACATGATTGAATTTTATGAGGAGTTGATGAAGATGATCGATGAGGGTAGAGCAGTGGATGTTGTTTACAAGAATTTTAGTCAGGCTTTTAACAAGGTCCCTCATAACAGGGTCATCCAAAAGATCCACAGTAACTTGGCCATATGGATTTAGAGTTAGCTTGCCATAGAAGACAGAGGGTATTGGTCGAAGGTGTTTTTCATGCTGGGAGTCTGTGACTAGTGATGTTCAGCAGGGATCCCAACTGATATATATAAATGACTTAGATGCGAATGTAGATGGGTATGTTTGTGATTTTGCAGACTATGCAAAGATCAGTGCAGTTGTGGATGGCATAGAAGGTTGTCAAAGGATACAGGGGGATATAGAACAGGTGCAGATATGGGCAGAGAAATGGCAGATGGAGTTTAATTCGGATAAGTGTAAGATGCTGCACGCTGGGAGATCAAATGTTAAGAAAAGTACACAGTTAATGACAGGACTCTGAACAGCATTAATGAACAGAAGGATCCTGGGGTTCAAGTCCGAAGCTCCCTAAAAGTAGCTATACAAGTGGATATATTTTTAAAGAAGGTGTATGGCATGCTTGCCTTTGTTAGTCAGGGAATTGAGCACAAGAGTCAGGATATTATGTTGCAGCTTTATAAGACATTGGTTAGGCCACATTCAGAGTATTGCATTCAGTTCTGGTTGCCACATTACAGGAAGGATGTGGAGGTTTTGGAGAGGGTGCGGAAGAGGTTTATCAGGCTGCTGCCTGGATTAGAGGGTATGAGCTATAAGGAGAGGCTGGAAAAACTCTGGCTGTTTTCTCTTGAGCAGCGCAGGCTGAGGGGAGACTTGATAGAAGTCTATGAAATTACGAGAGGCATAGAAAGAACTCTTCCCCAAAGTTGAAATGTCTAATACTAGGGGGCATACATTTAAGGTTAGAGGGGGAAAGTTCAAAGGAGAAGTGAGGGGCAAGTGTTTTTACACGAGAGTGGTGGGAATCTGGAACACTGCCAGGGGTCGTGGTGATGGAGGTAGATACATAAGGGCGTTTAAGAGACTTTAAGATAAGCACATGAATATGCAAGGAATGTAGGGATATGGAGCAATGGCAGGCAGAAGGGATTCGTTTCATTTGGCGTCATGTTCGGCACAACGTCGTGGGCCGAAAGGCCCGTTCCTGTGCTGTACAAATCTGCGTTCTATGACCAGAATTCGACTTCACTTACCACTTCAGGACCCGTCAAATGGTCGCAGGTTTACCATCCATCTCCCCCCGGTTGATGTTTTATGTCATAGCAAGGTATTCCCCACCCACCCCACCTTGAAGGTCTTTTATCCTGTAGGTGACCTCCAGAATATTCATTCATGAGCAACGAACCAAGTTCTGGCTATTGGCGCTAATTTCACTGCACATGTCTCAATTGAAGTGAAAGTGTTAGGTTGTATGAAGCTTCCCCAGCATCGTGATGGCAGGGAGAACTTTTATTGTCATAGAATCCCTACAGTGTGGAAACAGTCCACCTGATCCAACAGGTTCACACCGATCCTCCGAAGAGAATCCCACCCGACCCATCCCCGCTTCCCTATCGCTGTAACCCTGCATTTCCCGTCGCTAATGCACCTAACCTATACATCCCTGGACGCTATGGGCAATTTAGCATGGCCAATCCACCCACCTTGCACATCCTTGGGCTGTAAGAGGAAACCGCAGCACCCGGAGGAAACACACGCAGACACGAGGAGAATGTGCAAACTCCGCACAGAGACAGGCACCCGTGCCGCCCCGTTTCCTTTAAGGATCTATGTGACGTGGATTACCTGAAGCTGCTAGCATTTTGTTAGCATCGGTCCAGGGATGTGCAGGCTAGATGGATTAGCAATGGCAAACGTGAGGTTATGGGGATAAGGTGTGGATGCCCTTCGGAAGCTATACCCGATGAGCCGAATGGCCTCTTTCTGCACTGTAGGATTACTATCAGAGCGAGCCCAGGCGCTGAGTAATCACCACCCCACTCGACCACCACCACCCCCTCCACTCCCCTCTGTCCGGCTTCATGTAGCCAATTTCTTTGCAGTTAGGGACTATGAGAACTATCTTTTCTAATAGCCCAGAAAAGGGTTGGGAATCACAAAGGGCAACCTCTGCATTCCCAATGGACCTCCCAGAGGGATCGGTTATTTGGAACTTCAATTCAAAATTTATCATTCGATATTTGACCTGCCCCTCCTCTACCCCCGGGGACTGCTGAAGCTCTGAGCAAACCGTAACGGCTCGAGGGTTTGTCCGCTTCCCCTATATAGATGGTAATCTCAGAGGAGGTCCATTCGGGGAATGCCCTTCAGCGGAACCAGCCCTCACCCCTGTGACCTGTCGTGGACTTGAAAGATTCCCCACAGCAACCACCAGCATTTCTCTCCAGCTAGACCCCATAATGGGTGATAATATTCTGCTCACAATCTCAGCAAGCAACATCTTCGATAACATATCGCCTGAAGATCCCTCCTGGATGGAGCAAGAGACAAAAAAAAACAGGGAATTAAGAATATCCCCCACCCCCGCCCCACAACACACACACACAAGCTAAGGTTCCTGTCCCACTCAGTGTGGAGTGTCCTAATCGAAAGTGAAGATCAATTTTCCACATCAGGGAACAAGCAAATGTTAGAACGGTGCATAAATCTTTCAAATAATCTCTTAGCCAAGCGTAGGGTGTTAAATTGTAATAACGGTACCCTGCGGAGACATTTGAAACCTGCTGAACAATTTTATAACATTTAATCATCTGAAGTATCAGATAAAGGAGTGAAGTCAATTCTTTGAAACCAAGGAATATACGACAACAGTTCAGAAGCGATAGTGATAAAAACCGTTCAGGTTTGAAAGAGATTCCCTCAAACCAAAAAAAGAGAAAATAAATCAATGATGATTAACGCCCCTGTCTAAGACACGATAGGTTGAAACATTTTTTCAAACCAGAATATCTCTTCCGTTTTATTGCAGTTAAAAACTTTGAACCCCCTGTGAAAAAATGACCTCTTTGAGTGGACCTCTTTAATGTTAATATTGATCTCTCTCTGCACCTTCTAGGCATCTGTAACATTGTATCCTGCACTCTGTTCTGTTACCCTGATGCACTTGTATTGTCCGATCTGCCTGTAAAGCACACAGTACTTTTCACTCTACCTCGGCGCAGCAATTAATCAAATCAAATAAACTCAGGATCAAATGACCTCGGTGCATGCAAAGGGGTGTCGCAGCAATAACTCACTAATACCTCACCAGTGTACTTTGTGCAGTGTAGGAGTTGCATCAGTACACAGAAAACATCAGGAGGTTGGGCCCTGCACATTTTATTATTTTCTCCCGTGTCACAGGGTCGGAAGGAGCAGTTGAGCGAAAATCATTCTCTCTCTTCAACAGTACGTTGCGGACGGGCGATCGCCATTCGACTGCTTCCTGGAAACAGGCTGGAAAATTTCCGGGAGACAAAGCCGCCAGCTGCTGGAGGCACCCCACCCACCTCCTGGTGAACTGCCTTCACTTGTACACAAAGAAGGAAGAAAAAGAAAGGGAGTGACGGAAAGAGAAAGAGCGAAGGGAGGGCTGGATGGATGGAGGGAGGGAGCAGAGAATATGTGCTACAATATATGAGATCGTCTTTATCGATGAGGCACTAAACCGACAATTTGCCTCATGGTAAGACATTCTAAAGGCAGTATAATGAATAATATTTCTGCCTTGCGCCTGATCAGTATTTATCCCTCAAACAAAACCACAAGTCTGGTCATTTGACCATTATCACACAGCACTTTGTTGATTTTTTTTCCAGAGCGCTTCAGGGTGTCCTGAGGTGAGGAAAGATTCTGCACCAAATGTCGACGGGCCGAGCGGCTGACAGTTGAGAGAATGAATTATGGGGAGCTGCCTGAGTCCCGTGAGGAGACATAGAGAGTCCAGTTCCCCACCGACTGTCCATTCCTTCCTGAGATCCAATCGGCCTGGGTGACTGGGCGGGTTCAGACCTCACTTGCAGTTATCCTTTGCCGGGAATGCGGAGGTGTGGGAGGAGAGAGAGGGAGGGGTGGTGCGTGTTTGAACGGCATCGCAGTAAACGCTGGATTTGTCCTGCCGCTCTCCTCAGCTTTCGGGTGGTACTGGAAGCGGCTCAGAGCAGTGAGCAGCCGCGGGCAGCGGTGAGCAGCGCGGTCAGCGAGAGCAGCGCCCGGTGCAGGGAGGGCTCCCGGGCCGATTGGGAGACGCAGCCTCCCGCTCCCTTCCTGCACTGGACTTTCTCACACAGGAGCCCGGTGTAGGGAGCTGGGCACCGGCACCTCCCGTTCTCCTCACACACTCCTCCGTTCTCACACCGTGTCAGCAGGTTATCACACACTCCCCCTGCGAAAGAAAACAAAACACAGCAAGGACAGGCCAATGAAAATCTACCGACATTATAAACTGTCACCACTCTTATTTTTACAACAAACTTCCACTTGTGCAGCTACTAAAACAACACAAGGTTTTTCAGAGTAGTAAAATTCAAGACAAAGACAGATACGGAAGAGTTAAGGTGACCGAATGCTAGGACAAAGTGTTAGCTTTTTAAGAAACTCCTTGAAGAAAAGAAGGGATGGAGAGATTTGGGTGAGGAAACTTCAGAGTTCAGGACTGGGACAGCTGAAGGCAGTGCTATCAATGCGAAAGTTAAAATCAAAGAAACTCCAGAGGTCAGAATTAGAGGGCTGCAGAGATTTTGGAGCTCTGCTTAATGATCCTGGGGGTTGATGGGCAATTGGGTGGAAGGTGAAGCTAATAGAGGTATTTAAAAGTAAGAATTAGAATTTTCAAATCAATGCAGTATTCAGCTGGGAGCTTTTGTGTGCAAGAGTTGGAAAGGGTCAATGATGAGGAGGGCATCCAGCAATGCCCAATACAGTACTGTTCAATAAACTACACCGTTCTTAAGACAAGGACCTCATCATTAGAATACTAAGAAGTTTTCCCTGTCTCACTGGACCAAGTAGTCCTGTGCATCCCTACCAGTAAAGATGATGGTAGCAGTAAATCTGAGATGGACACTTACACCAAGATGAGCTGAGGATCCATCATACAACATGGTGGTAGTGAAGGGAAATGTTCATCTTGCAATTAGATAGCAATCAGTGGAAATCTATAATTTTATCAATGGCACAAGACTGATTAATAAAGTTCAAAAACATGGGATTCAGGGAGAGCTTGAAAATTGGATACAAAATTAGCTTGATGGTAGGAGACAGAGAGTACTGGTAGTGGTGTGATTTTCTGATTGGAGGCCTGTGACCAGCGATGCTCCGCAAGAATCAGTGCTGGGTCCATTGTTGTTTGTCATTTATATAAATGATTTGGATGAGAATTTAGGAGACACGGTTAGTAAGTTTGCCCTTGACATGAAAATTGGTGTTATAGTCAACAGTGAAGAAGGTTATCTAGGATTACAGAGGGATCTTGATCAATTTGACCAATGGGCTAAGGAGTGGCAGATGGAGATAAATTTGGATAAATATGAGGTATTGCATTTTGGTAAAGGGAATAAGGGCAGGACTTAGACAGTTAATGGCTTGGGTAGTGTGGTCGAACACAGAGACTCAGGGGTTCAGGTACATAGTTCTTTGAAAATTGTGTCACTGGTAGACAGAGTGGTTAACAAGGTATTTAGCATACTTGCCTTATTGTTCAGACCACTGAGTATAGGATTTGGGATGTCATGTCGAGGTTGTACAGGACGTTGGTGAGACCACTTTTGGAGTACTGTGTACAGTTCTGGCAGACCTGTAGAACCAGTGCCAAGTCATAGAAACACAGAAAATAGGAGCAAGAGTGCACCATTCAGCTCTTCCAGTGTCCTCTACCATTCAAAATGATCATGGCTGATCTTCCACATTTGTTCCTGCTTTCTCCCCATACTCTTTGATCCTTTAACCCTAAGAACTATGCCTAATCCTTTTTGAAAATGATAGAAACATTGAAAATAGAATGATGTGGAGGTGTCAGTGTTGGACTGGGGTGGAAATCTTCAATCAGTTAGAAGGTTTTAATTGATTAATATGTACCTGACTTGAAATAAATTGGGGATTTACATATACATATTAATCAATTAAAACTTCTTACTGATTGAAGCATCTTAGGTTTATTTAATACATCCTCATCAGTGGTGCGACCTTTTGTTCTTTTACTTATAAATTCTGTGTCTGATTCCACCTCCCTCACTAACACCTGAAGAGGGAGTGAGGCTCCAAAAGCTTGTGCTTTCAAATAAACCTGTTGGACTATAACCTGGTGTCATGTGATTTCTGACCTTGAAAATAGAAGCAAGAGTAAGCCATTGGTTGAAGCTCAACCGGAGAGTGATCACGCGATGAAGACTCTGTGGGTGAAGGCAAAATCCCCCGTGGGCAGGAGAAACAGAAATATGCAAAACAAAAGATGCAGTTCACAGGCTGGAATGAGTAAAAGAAGACAAATGACTTTCAGGCTTACAGTTAAGAGTGGGCACTGCTGTCTTTGTGAGTGGGCACAAAATGGCACAGGTACAGTATAGGAAATCAAAATCAAAGAAGTATTTTTTTAAAAAAGTTACAATTTGGAGACTTTGCAATGCCAGAATTGAACAGATCTCATAAAGCCACTGTACCTGTAAGACAGCTGGATGACATCAGGTGATGTTCGAGCATGAAAGGTCTCCATCTTCTTCTCGGTTAGTCAGCTACTTATGTATATAATACAACAGTAACATAGGCATGCATAGAACATAGACTATATCTAAGTCTGAGGTATCAGAATGCACATTGTTAGTGCTGCTGATAAACTTCAAGAGATCTCTCTCTCTCTCTCAACAAGAACCTTGCTCGACTCTTCTTTCAGAGATAGTGGGAACTGCAGATGTTGGAGAATCTGAGATAACAAGGTGCAGAGCTGGATGAACACAGCAGGCCAAGCAGCATCAGAGGAGCAGGAAGGCTCCTGCTCCTCTGGTGCTGCTTGGCCTGCTGTGCTCATTCAGCTTTGCACCTTGTTATCTCGACTCTTCTTTCATGAGTTACATGAGCTAACATATAGGGAAGCACTTAGACCACACAATTCTGGTAGTGCTTTTTCTACCCTAAGTAAACCACATCAAAGTCTAATGGAATAAGACAGATTGAGGACTACTGAAGCTGCAGGAAAGGTGAAAGATCCATTATTTAACACCACAGCAAAGGCAAGGAGCATTTATTAAACCATAGGCATTGGGACTGTCCAGGAATAAAAAAAGACATTAACAGGAATTATGAGCAGAGTTACAGACAGGGCAAATCATCTTGGAAAATCCATTTAAGAAACAGAACTAATATTACAGAGGCAAAAAGAGGGGGATTATTTTGGTACAACTGTTAAGAGCAATGGGATTGTTTATTGAAGCCGCAGGCAGTGGAATTAATATGGTTCAGCTTTTAAGGAAACAGGAATCATTTATAAAAGCCATGATACATGGGACTCATAGAAAATTCATGTAACAGGCAGGCATCATCCATTTTACTTGCAGGAAGCAGGACTCCAACTTTTTCAGTACAAAAGGACTGGACAAGCTTCCAGTACAGAAGTACCCTGACGAATTAAGGGCCTTCAAAGGAAGAAAAATAAGTAATCACAGGAGGAAGACATGGCTGCGAAGATAATGCTGGATATTCTGAGGAGTGCGAAAGGGGAGAGATCTGCATTTCTGACAGGAAATTCCGAACAATGCTCCCTCAGAAATGCAGAATGGTGCTTCCATTGTCGTCCATCGGTCATGCAGACTGGTCAGGGAGCGGGAGGAGAGGTGGTTTCAAACTGCATCCACTCCTGATGACAGTCTGCTGTCACATTCTGAAACATAAAGATCGAGAATGACAGACAGCCGTTTTGAGAAGCTGCTGTGAAACAGGTAAGTGCCTAAGGGAAGTGTGAGGTTAGGGTGCCAAGAGCGCAGGGAGCCACCGGGTTAGAGGCCAGGGTACCAGATGAATAGAGTGTGCACTGGATGGGGAAAAATTGATAGGTGCCAGGGTGGGGAAGATCGAACAGGAGAAAGTGGTGGGATGCTATTTGGGTAGGGTAGAAGGTGGGGAGGATGCCAGATTGTTACAGGGTAGAGTTCCAGTTGATAGATGGCAAGGTGGCAAAGGAACTAAGTAAGTTATGCAGTATTTAAGATAGGTCGGGTAGGCTGGTAGAAATGAGATTTGGTGGGCACAGAGATGGTGGGTGTCAAGTTGGTCAGGGGAGATTGGTAGTGCATGGCAGGGGACTGGACTCCAATTGGGCTTGGCGAGAGGCTTATTGGGTCCTAAGTGGGGAAAGGATCTGAAGCAGGACAAAAGGTTTCAGCTCCCAAAGATTGAAGTGTCAGTTCTGATATCAGATGAAGGGAGATCAGGCCAAGGGTAATGGGGTTGGGGGGGAAGGTTTGATTGTAGCAACAGGCAAGGGGGGATCTGGTCCAGTGGTGGGGGAGTGGAATTGTGTCCAAATCTGACGAATGGAGGTGTTGAGTCCTAGGGAGCAAGGGGGGTGTCAGATCAATGTCTGGTGGGAGTGAAAGTGGTCCAGGAGAGATGTAGTTGGGAGCTCTGGGAGGTAATTATGAAGTCAGTTGAAAAGTTTAATCAGGTGCTAAACTATGTATTTAATAGATAAATGTTTCCTGATAATTATTTCCTTAATTTGATCAGAACCGTCTCACTTCTTTGTCAGCTCATTGTGCACTCGGATAAAGCATTGTCAGCCTCGAGCTGCTCTGTATAGTGACTGACATTTGGCCCGGACATGGCAGAGGAGTCTAAATTGGTGCTTGTATTTTGTGGGCAGGTACCTGGAGGTTCTGGTGGATAGGTCAATGCAGAGGAGGGCCACCCTCAGAGACCTTCTTCTCTCTGCCAAGATGAGAGCTCTTTCTTTCCTACCTCACACTCACTCCATCATTGCTATTCCACACAGCCCCCACCAAGGCTGAATTTCTACCACTCACTACTGCAAACAACGCGTCTTCTCATTCCTCTACACCCGCCTTAACACCCAACATCACTAACCTTGCAGGAATAAATTACTGCAGGTGCTGGAATCTGTACTGAAAACAACAAAGTCTGGAGATCACAGCGGGTCAGACAGCATCCATGGAGAAAGAACAAGCTAACATTTCGAGTCTAGGTGACTCTTCATCAGAGCATCATCAGCCCTGATGAAGAGTCGTCTAAACTCAAAACATTAGCTTGCTTTTCCTGCATGGATGCTGTCTGACCCACTGTGATCTCCAGCATTTGTTGTTTTCATCACTAACCCTGCATGCCCCATAAGCAAGCCTGTTCACTCACCTGGGACAACTTACCTATTTTTTCCAACTTGGTCCATCGATAGTATCTGTGCACCCATTTTCGTCTCATTCAATCATTGCCTTTCTCACAAGACAGGAGAAAACAGCCCACAATAGAGCAGTGAAACCCTGGACAGATGGCCAGATATTCAACTGCTCGCCCCTAATAAAGATTGACTCCTGACCAGTGGTTGACTGTGTCCAAGCCCTGAACTGGTATCAGAAGCTGCCCTTGACTTGATATGCTGAAAGCCCTCTGACTGAAGGCCGTCTCCAATCACAAAACCAGAAAAACCAGATTCCTGCCCTTGTATCTGCACGGAACAGCAAAGCAAGATAAAAGCGCTGTGAGCCTGACAGCTTTGCCTGAGGGGGGCAAACTTCAAAAAGCTAAGGCAAGGCACGGGTGCTTTGAGAATCGAGGTGTGTTCAAAGCAAGTGAGCACGAAGACAGCAAAGGAACAGCCCTGAGGTGCAGCCTGGTCCAGTCTGTGAGCAGAGTGCCTGTCTGTGTGAGGGTGCCTGTCTCTCTGCAGAAAGTGTCCTTGCAGCAGTATTTCAATGCTACTTGCCGGTACACCTCCGCAAGTTCCAGCACTAAAGTGCAGAAGCGTTGTTCAAGTGTGTCGGAGTTGTGCCGTAAGAGTTCGGAGATGCTGGCAAGCTAGGCCCGAAACGTCAGCCTTCCTGCTCCTATGATGCTGCTTGGCCTGCTGTGTTCATCCAGCTCTACACCTTGTTATCTCCGTAAGATGAAACAGTTCATGTAGTTGGTGCCCTGAAGCACATTCTGTAATATCATTGCCGGATGTCCAAGGCAGTAGCCCAGGGGAACAAGCAGTGAGCAGAAACCTCCAGGTACCCACTGTGACATCCGTGTCTAGAATTGTCAATGTCTAGTTTCCTCGTAGCGGATGGTAAGATGGGATTCTGAATATCAACGAGGCGATATTCAGTATTAGTTAGGCTGTTAATGGGCAATAATTCCCATTCACAAGCAACTCACAAACAGGAAGGCGGCCAGAATTTAGGAAAAGAAGCTTGTTTGCTCCCGACATTGCAATCGACCTGGCTAGAGTCCGCACGTGCTTCTCCCAAATTTCTCACTATAGCCCATATCGTTCAAGCCCCTGAAAGATTCCGTTTCAGAGCCAGTGCCAGGACTGTGCAGCAAGGACACCTCGCGGCAACAAGTGGTGCCCAGTGCCTTGTCTCCTGCACACAACACATCCCTTTTTTTTGGAGGCAATGGTGAAAAAATGCATGAGTTTTGGAGGTAGATAGCCATTTCAATCACCAGATGCCCTGCACTCAAGTGGAATTTCCACCTCACTGCGCCATTGAGCCAGGGTATACACATTAGACTTGTTAAGTTGGCATAGAGTGTATGGTCAATGAATAGAAGGGAGGGTCAGATAGGGAACATGAGAAACCATGAGAGAAGGGCTGACGTGGTGGAGAATGCATTCAAGGTGAGGTGGCATGGATGGGGCTAGAGGAGTGTGTAAGAGTAAGAAGTGAGAATGCTTTGAGCAGTAAAAGCTGGAGGAACACTTTATCATTTTATTTTACCTTTCGGACACAGTGCTAGTTCCCTGAGATAGCCACTTTGCCCGGCCCACCTCAGAAAATGCTGAGCCATCAGGCTCTTCCCAACTCAATTGGTTGGCCTGATTCCCATTCCAGCCCACTTCCCAAGATCAAAATTGGGAAATGCAGATCATCACTTTTCGAGATTGAGTTTGCCAAAGTTGGACATTCTCCTACCTCTGTGCCCCCACCCAAGGCCTGATATTTGGGATTCAGGCCACTTTCAGAAGTTGTACCAGAGTATGATACAGTCACAGTTCAGAATGTTGCCGGGATTGGAGGGTTTGAGCTATAGGGGGAGGCTGGATAGGCTGGGGCTATTTTCCCTGGAGTGTTGGAGGCTGGACAGTGACTTATAGAGGTTTATAAAATCGTGAGGTAGTGGAGAGGGTGAATCACCAAGGTCTTTACCCCAGGGTAGGAGACTCTAAAACTAGAGGGAATAGGTTTAAGGTGAGAGGGGAAAGATATAAAAAAGATCTAAGGGGAATTTTTTTTTTTCCGCACAGAGGGTGGGGCATGTATGGATTGAACTGCCAGAGGAAGTGGTAAAGGCTGGTACAATTACAACATTTAAAAGGCAAAAGGGTATATGAGTTGGAAGGGTATAGAGGAATGTGGGCCAAATGCTGGTAAATGGGACTAGATTAATTTACAATATTTGGTTAGCATGGACAAGCTGGACAAAAAGGTCTGTTTCCATGCTGTCAACTCTATGACTCTATTGGTCAAAAAGCCACTCACCCACAATGAAGTTCATGAAGTAGAACAGGTAACAGTGGAAAAAGAACCAAAGGTATTCCTGGTAGAACCATTGCAATAGGATATTTAAGTCAAGGACATTTCATTAATTTTGTGTTCTCAGATAGCACACTCTGGGTGAAAAATAAAACACTGCTTACAGTCCACCACATAGCACACAAGGAATACCACTTAGGATTAATGGTATGTCTCAAGCAACTCGGTAACATAACACATTTCAGATAGTAGAGCATGTACACACGCTTCAAAATAAAGAATTCTCCCTCTTGAGCATGAAGGTGTGTATTGACCTCAACCTTCTTCAAATGGCAGAAAAAGAAATCGGTACAAATCAGTAACATTTTGGAAATGGTCACTTTGGCTCAACATTAAATCTCATTTTAAGTTTAGCAAGATGCGTTCAGACTAGTTCCACCATTTCCACATTTTACTGTTGTTGCCTCTGGTTCAAGTCAAGAAAGAAAATACTGATTTATTTAAAATTGGAAAATAATGATGTGACACTTCTGCTCATAAAGGGAGAGAGACAGAAAGTAGGAATCTAAAGACCAATTAGCCTAACATCTTCATCGGGAAAAAGCTGAGGTCCATTCATAAGGAAGAAATGGAAGGATGTTTAGAAAACCTTAATGCAATCAAATAGCATTGAATGAAAAGATGAAATGAAATGTTTGTTTCTTTGGGCATAATGACAAGCAGAGCTTATAAAGTAGAACTGGTAGAGGTCTTGTATTTGGATTTCCAGAAGGTGCCACATGAAAGATTATTGCAGAGTTCTGAGGATAATGTATTAGCATGGATGGAGTGTTGGTTAACACAGAGAAGTTAGAGAATCAGGATTAATGTGTCTTTTCCAGGTTAGGAAAGTGCAAGTATTGCAGTGCCACAAGGATCAGTCATGAGCCTCAATTATTTACTGGTTATATTAATGATTTCAAGTCAGGGCAGAGTTTAATGTCTCCAAACTTGCTGATGATACAAAAATAGGTGGGGGTTGGCTGACATGTTATGATGAGACTGTAAGGAACCTGTTAAAGGCAATTCAGTGAATGGGCAAAAACTTGGTAGATGGAGGGTAATCTTGCAAAGTCACACACATTGTTAGGAAGAATCAAAAGGCAGACTATTATTTAAATGGATAGAGACCAAAAAAGAAGGATGTGAGTGATCTCGTGTATGAATTTAGAAAATATTTGTACACAGATGCAGTAAGCAATTAAGAAGGTAAATTGATTTTTGGCCTTTATGTTGGTGGGTTGGAATTCAAAAATGGGGTAAAACTATACAGAGTGTCGCTGAGACTTCATCTGGAGTGATCTGCACAGTTTTAGTCTACATATTTAAGAGGAGATATCCTGGTATTGGAAGTATTTCAAAATCCATTCACTAGGCTGATTCTCTGATCTCCAGGGTCTCCTTTCGTATGGAATGAGTAACTATTTATGTGGCCAGCGAAAGTAGAGCCCAGGATAATTCACTCACAAAAAGCCTCTTTATTTTACCCCACAGTATCTCTGCTGTCAGATACATAGTGAATCCTGTTCACAGAAACTGGGGTGTAGTGGGAGGGGTGAAGAACTGGTGCTGGAACAGTCACTGAGCTCAACAGACCATCTTATACTGATTCCTTCAGATGGTATGACAGACATATGAAGAGTGATCAGATTGGTTAGGACGATAATCATCGGAGTTTAGAAGAAGGAGGGTGGATCTTGTTGAAATTTATAAAACCTGAACAGCGCTAAAGAGGATAAACACAGCAAGGATATCCCCAATTACCAGGGAGCCCAGAATCAGGCAGTTACAGTCAAAGAATACAGCATAGACCATTTATAAATGAGATGAGGAGACATTTTTCACCCCGAGAGTGGTGAGCCAGTGAAAATTCTTTGCCACAGAATTCAGTTGAGACCAGAACGTTGAATATTTTCAAGAAAGCATTGACATTGTTCTTAGAGCTAAAGAGATCAAAAGGTGTAAGGAGATGATGGGAAGAGACTAATTGAATTATATGATAAGCCAGGATCATGTTGAATGGCTTAGTAGACTCGAAGGACTGAATGGTCTATTTCTGCTCCTATTTTCTACATTTCTCCTGAGAATATCGTGGTAAACATTTATCAGAGGGCACTGCTACACTGTCTATATTCAGCATCATTATAGTAACAGTAGAGAAAGCTCACGAGGTGGTGCACAGCCTGCAGAAATAGGACATCACACAAATGTACACACACACACACACACACACAAGACATGATCATTCACAACCTCACCAGCATAAACAACTGTGACCCAAGACACAGGACAGTCAGACTGAAGCAAATCTCCAATGTTTAAACAGCTTCAATCCTTCACAAATTGACAATAGCCCATGCCCCAAACTATGCACAGTATGGCTTTACGAGGCCAGAAAAAGCATAGCAAGCACTAGGTTCATCACCAGAAAGTCAATTTCAAATAAAAGATGTTGTGTTAAATTGGCATCGATCCTTGGTCTAGACCACCTTTGGAGCACTAGACAGAGCTCTGGTCTGCAATACTGTGGAAACCACATAGATGCAATGGAGGAGGTGCAAAAGAAGATTCACAAGAACATTACCACAACTGAGAGGCTCTGCCTATCATAAAAGACTGAACCAGTTGGTGCTCTTTCCTTTGAATGAGAAGGCTGAGGTGTTACCTGAGAAAAACCTTAAAAGCAATGATCATGTTTTGAATGTGGGGAAGCAGTTTCCAATGAGCAGTATGGTGGTGCAGTGGTTAGCACTTCAGTCTCACACTGCCAGAGACGTGCATTCAATTCCACCCTGCAGTGACTGTCTGCATGGAATTTGTACATTCTCCCCGTGTCTGCACGGGTTTCCTTCAGGTGCTCTGATTTCCTCCCACAGTCCAAAGATGTGTGGGTTAGGTGGATTAGCCATACTAAATTGCCCACACTGTCACTTTTCCATGGGTAGTATACTGATGGAAAATGCACGGTTACATGGATAAGGCAGGGAGTGTGTCTGGGTGGGATGTTCTTTGGAGGTTCGGTGTGGACTTGATGGGCTAAATGGCCCGCTTGCACATTGTAGGGATCCTGTGAGTTGTGAGGGAGATATAAATTATGTAGTATAAATATAACATAGGTAATCATAAATCCAATTGAGAAGTTAGAAGAAACTCCTTCATCGAGAGAGTCGTGAGAATGTGGGATATGCTAACACAAGCTGCAGTTGAGGCACATTGCAGGGATGCATTTAAGGGGAAACTGGATAAACAGAGAAAGATCACTGTATAAATACACATTTTTGCTTTCTCTCTCTCTCTCTCTCTCTCTATACATATATATGTGTATATATATATAATACATCTCTTTCCCTCTGTCTATCTTTATCTCTCTCTCCACAAGAAAACAGTCATATTGTTTGAGAGCTCCTACCTTGCTTTGGGTTTGTGACCTGAAGGGAGGAGCTGCTTGACCATGTGTGAGTCTGCTTTGCATCAGCTGCATGCGTCAGGAGAAAGCAGCAATTATTACTCACAGCCAGAAAATGACGCCTGGCCTGTATACAACATGTGCGCCACACAACAATACGTACATACACACGCACTGTAAGACCGCCGGAGAGACAAACAGCCATTTCCATCTCCATCTCACAATATATCAGATAAAAGTTGACGCTGAAATATGGCAGAGATGCCAGGACAGCTGCCCAGAATTTTGCTCAAAGAGGGAGATTTTAATGAGTGTCTTAGAAGAGGAGAGAGGGGTAAAGGGATGGAGACATTTAGGGAGGGTCTGGACTAGGCAGCTGAAAGCATAGGTCCCAATCCATTCCTACTCGTGTCATGTTTCTGTCTAGTCTGTGAAGTTATAATCACTCCCAGTCAAGGTGGAAAGTTAAGATTGATCTCGGTTAGTGAGAGAAATTAACATCATTTTATTTGTTATGTGGAATCTTGGTCACTCTCCATCAGTGTGAGCATGACCAGTTTCAGTCAATGTGGGGAAGTTATGGACACTGTTAGTCAGTATGTCACTCGCCATTTTGGACAGTTCTGGTCATTGTGGTGAGTTTGGGAGTTATGATTACTCTCAGTCTGTGTGAGGAGCTCTGGTCACTCCTGGTCAGTGTAGGGACTTACAATCACACTTCGTGAGCATTGAGATTTATGATAATTTCTCATTAGCTTTTGTGAATTTGGTCACTCCTCATCAGTATGGGTATTGGGTTCAATGTAACAGTAGTTCAGAATGAGATGGATAGCATGCAAAGTGTTAAATAAACATGAATGAGTTGATAGAACAAACGGGAACAAAGGTAAACAGTTTGAGAATGATTCCAGTTCCCATTTCTGTATCTGGGATAATAAAATTAAATTTGCATTGAGATTCAATTGATTATTAATGGGGTAGTAGCAGGACATTTAGAAAATCATAATACAATCAAGCAGAGCCAATGTGGTTTTCTGAAAGCACAGTAGTGTTTGATAGTTTTTTTTAACCATTCTTTGAAGATGCAACAAGATGATAGTTCAAGGGGAACAAATAAATACAGTCATAGAACCCCTGCAGTGTGGAAGCAGGCCATTCAGCCCACACCAAACCTCTGAAGAGCACCCCACACCTCTAATCTATAACCCCACGTTTCCCATGGCTAACCCACCTAACCTACATATCTCTGGACACTATGGGGCAATTTAGCATGGCAAAATCCACCTAACCTGCACATCTTTGGATTGTGGGAGGAAACCAAAGCACCCAAAGGAAACTCATCAAGAAACAAGGAGAATGTGCAAATTCGACACAGACAGTCAACCGAGGGTGGAATTGAACCTGGGCAGTGGCTCTGTGAGATTGTAGTGCTAGCCACTAAGCTACTGTGCTGCCACCACTAAGCCACCATGCACCATGTATTTAGATTTCCAATACACATTCACTAACATGACACGTAAAAGGTGAATACACAAGATAAAAGCTTATACTTTGAGGATGTTATATTAACATGGAAAAGAGGAGGATTGACTAACTAACAGGAAAGAAAGATTTGGAATAATTAGGTCATTTTCAGGTTTGAAAATTGTAACATATTAAGTGCCATGGGATCAGTGCTGGGGCCTCAATAATCTATAATCTATACAAATGGCATGATGAAGGCAAGGACTGTATTGCTGCCAAATTTGCTGACAATGCAAAGGTAGGAAGCCAAGTTCTAAGGAAACTATAAAGACCTCGATTTATGTCACGATGGAGAGGGTATGCCCATGAAGACGCTGCCAGAAGGACTGGGGAGTCCCAAATCATGCCTCGAAAACCCAGTGTTTCTCATTTTCTGGTGAACAACTTGACACATGTACAGTTTCCTGAAGCAGGAAGAGTCAAATAGAGTCATAAAGCCATACAGTTGTACAGCATGGATCCTCCAGTCCAACTCATCCATGCTGACCATGTATCCTAAATTAATCTAGACCCATTTGCCAGCGTTTGGCCCATATCCCTCTAAACCCTTCCTATTTGTGTACCTATCCAGATGCCTTTCAAATGTTGTGATGGTACTAGCCTCCACCACTTCCTCTGAAAGCTCATTCCATATAACCACCACCATCTGCATGAAAATGTTACCGCTTAAGTCCCTTTTAAATCTTTTCCCTTTCACCTTAACGTTATGCTGTCTAGTTTTGGACTCCCCTACCCTGGGAATAAAGGGCCTTGGCTATTCACCCTGTTCATGCCCTTCATCATTTTATAAATCTCTATAAGATCACCCCTCAGCCTCCGATGCTCCAAGGAAAACAGCCCCAGATGATTTAGCTTCTCTTAAAGCACAAACCCTCCACCCCATCCTTGTAAATCTTTTCTGCACCGTTTCAAGATTAACAATATATTTCCTATAGCAAGGAGACTAGAATTGAATGCAGCATTCCAAAAGTGGTTTCACCAATGCCCTGTACAGCTGCAAAATGACATCCCAACTCCTATACACAATGCACTGACCAATGAAGGCAAGTGTATCTAATGCCTTCTTCACTACCCTGTCAAACTGCAACTCCACCTTCAAGGAACTATGAACCTGCACCCCAAGGTCTCTTTGCTCAGCAACACCCCTCAGGATCCTACCATTAAGTATATCAGTGCTGCCCTGATTTACCTTACCAAAACACAACTCTTCAGGTTTATCTAAATTAAACTCCATCTCTAACTTCTCAGCCCATCGGCCCATCTGATCAAGGTCCCATTGTACTCTGAGATAACCTTCTTCACTGTCCACTACATCACCGATTTTGGTGTAATCTGCAAACTTACTGACCATTCCTCCTATATTCACATCAAATCATTTGTCCAAAGGCAAAAAGCAATGGACCCAGCACTGATCCTTGCAACACACTGTTAGTCACAGGCTTCCAGTCCGAAAAATGATCAGCTGACCCCTCTGATGTAAGGCTTTGAAGTGCCTGGGGTTTGGAACTGGAGTGTGCAGATCAGACCAGTTAAGAATAGGTCCACTCTCAGTTTATTTCTTTTTGATCGTCTTTCTCTTTGGAGAGCTGATAGCCCCCTGCAGATATGGTTCCTGTACATCACGGAGGAGGTGGTCAGGAGTTGTTTTGGCAAGAGTCAGTTAACAGGGGTTAGATATCTGTTTTGGAGTTCAGGTGCCCTTTGAGACAGTCCTTTGTGAAGAAGGTTGTCCATAGAAGGTGCACAAACCACACAGAACTGTCCAGCTTGTCAAGAGGTATCGACAAACGCCAAATATCAAAATGTGTATTTGTGAATGAAAGTGATCTTACTCAAGAGAATGTAGACTGCAATTTAGATATTTAAGTAAGATGACTATGTCTTTTCTCCTGTGTGCAAGGAAACTTGTGAATATTCAATGAGATGGCATGGTAGATGTAGGAGAAAAGCTGCTGGGTAGAAATAGGTGATAAGTTGGCATAGGAACATAGGAACAGGAGTAGGCCATTCAGCCCCGCAAGCCTGTTCCACCATTCAATGAGATCATGGCTGATCTGTGGCCTAACTCTATATGAGTGACCATTGGAGATGGTAGAATTTCATAGGTTATGATGGATGGAGCATACAGAGAGAGAGTGGTGAGAGTTGCTGGTATGGTTCTATTTTAATCTCAGGTTTTGAACTTTGACCATGGCATGAGAGAATTTGCGCAGGCTTTCCATCCAGCCCCACCTCAAGAATTGGCTAGCCTTTAGGTCAATCCTGGATCAGCTGCCCCTATGGACCAAAAATGTTGGAATCCCAGGGTGGTCATCTTTAAAGATCTGGTTCGTGAAGCCAAGATTTCTCCAGACTTTCTGCACCCACCCCACCTAGAAACAAATATCAAGGCCCAGGAACAAAAACAAAGTTGCTAGAAAAGGTCAGGAGGTCTGGCAGCTTCTGTGAAGGCAAAAAACGGAGTGACCCAAAACATTAACTCTGTTTTTCCCTTCACAGATGCTGCCAGACCTGCTGAGCTTTTCCAGCAACTTTGTCTTTGGTCCTGATTTACAGCATCTACAGTTCTTTCAGTTTTATCAAGGCCTAGGTATCTGCCAAGGGATACACGTAGCTTACTTAAGTGAGCAAAAATATGGCAGATAGAAAATAATGTGGAAAAACGTGAAGCTGTCCACTTTACCAGGAAGAATACACAAGGACAGCATTATTTACATTGAAGGGAATAAAAGAACAGAGACTGCAGACCATTATGATAAAGAAAGACATCTGGATGTTCTTTACGTATGTCTTTTAAAAAAAAAACTGCACGTAGGTCAAGCAAGTCAAATGAAATGTTGGCCCTCATTGCAAGGGGATGGAGTGTAAATGTAAGGAAACCTCACTGCAACTGTACAGGGCCATAGTGAAACAACTTCTAGAGTACTGTGTACGGAGTTGGTCACTTACTTAAGGAGGGACATACTTGCATTGGAGCAGTTCAGAGATAGTTCACTGGCCTATTGTGGTGATGAGAGGTTTTCTTACAAGGGAAGATTGAGCAGGTTAGGCTCTTTACTTAGTGGCATTTAAAGAATAAAATTTGATCATAATGAAATACAAAGAGGGCTAGACAGGGTAAATGATGAAAGCATGACCCCCTTCAAGGATGTATGCAGAACAATGTGGAGCAGGTTCAAAATAGATCTTACCCCATTTCAGACAGAGGTAATGAGGAATTTATTCCCCTTGCCACTTGGAATGGTCTTCCACAGAAAGTAGTGGAGGCTGGGTCATTAAATGTAGTGTCATAGTGATGTACAGCATGGAAACAGGTTCTTCAGTCCAACTCATCCATGCTGACCAGATATCCTAAATTAATCTAATCCCATTTTCCAACACTTGATCCATATTCCATTAAACCCTTCTCATTCATGTACCCATCCAGATGCTTTTCAAATGTTGTAATTTTACTAGCCTCCACCACTTCTTCTGATAGCTCATTCATGCATCTTCTGCGTGAAAACGTTGCCCTGCAAAGTCCCTTTTATATCTTTTCTCTCTCACCTTAAAACTATGTCTTCTAGTTTTGGACTTCCCTGTCCTGGGAAAAAGACTTTGGCTGTTAACCCTATCCATGCTCCTCATGGTTTTATAAATCTCTATTAGGTCACCCCTTAGCCTCAGACACTCCAGGGAAAATAGTTCTAGATGATTCGACTTCTCTTCAGAGCTCAAACCCTCCAACTCTGGGAACATTTTCATAAATCTTTTCTGTACGCTTTCAAGTTTAACAACCTTTCCTATAGCAGGGAGACCAGATTTGAAAGCAGTATTCCAAAAGTGGTCTAACCAATGTCCTGTACAACTGCAACATGACATCCCAATTCCTACACTTGAATGTTAAGTTAGACAGATTTTTAGTTCACAAGGAAGTCATGGTTATGGTGTGGGACAGGCTGAAAATTGGAGTTAAAGCCACTATCAAATCAATCATAGTTTTATTGAATTACAGACATGGCTCAAAATGCCGAATGTCTCATTCCAGCTTCTACTTCTCAGGTTGTTAATTCTCAATGACAACACCTCAGACGTTTTATAAGTAACCACTTGCCATTAAATGTTTTCACTAAGATAGAGTTAAGAAGCATCTTTCTCTCTGCTCTCATTAAGATGTGATAAAATTTATTTGCTTTGTATTTGATCCACCACTCAAGGAGGAGATTAAATGTATTCCAGAGATACGAAAATAGACAGAGTTCTGATTCCAGTCTCTTTTCACTCCTACACTTATTCTACACACATTGCCTCTTCACACCTACAGAAGTAGGCCTGTTTCTCCATCGGTGAAGGATGTAGGAGGTTTGAGGAGAGCAGTGCATTCCTCATACAAAAGTTAGCTCTGGGTCAGAGGTTATAGGTCAGAGTAGTTAATTCCTACTTACTGCTATTGGTGAGGGTGTTAGGAAGACCTGGAAAGAGAATCAGAAACACAAAGAGTTAGAGAAACAATATTTACTTACAAAGTCAGAAGGTTATAGTCCAACACCAGGTTATAGTCCAACGGGTTTATTTGAAATTACAGCTTTCAGAGCACAGCCCCTTCGTCAAGTGAAATGAGAGGTTAGCACACAGACACAGAATTTATAGACAGAGAATTCAAGGGCAGAAAAATCACAAGATCATACAAATGGTGTGAGTGGAATGTCGAATAATAAGTCTCGGCGGGTGATTGAAAGTGTCAGATAGTGTGAGTAAAGTGTCAACAGCTGAATAAGCGAAGAGATAACCTATAATCAGATTAAATGAGGCAGAGAGATAATTAGAAAAAATTTTAAAAATAAGATGGTGCTGAAGACAAGCAAAATGACTGGAATAATATGATAGGTATAAGAGTCGCATGCCAAAGTCTAACCAAAGTAAGAAGTAATCCAAAACTGTAAAAACTAATTAACATAGAGAGATCATAATAACTTATCAAGGTGATGGTGTCAAAACAGGAAAGTAAGGAAGATTTTACAGATACGTAACAGTGTGGAGGAGTTGTGAGGCATGGTATATTGGCAAGACCATGCAGATGTTAAGACAACAGATAAATGGACACCGCGCAACAATCGTCAGACAGGAATGTTCCCTCCCAGTTGGAGAACACTTCAGCGGTCAAGGATATTCAGCCTCCAATCTTCAGGTAAGTGCCCTCCAAGATGACCTTTGAGATAAACAACAACAATGCAGAATTGCCAAGCAGAAGCTGATAACCAAGTTCGATACCCATGAAGAAGCTTCAAACATGGTCTTGGGTTCATGTTGTGCTACATATGACCCCACCACACCGTTCTGTATCTGTAAAACCTTCGTTACTGTCCAGCACCACCTTATTTTTAATTTTTTGTAATTATTTCCCTGTCTTATTTAATCTGATTATAGGTCATCCCTTCACTTGATATTCAGCTTTTGACACTTTATTCACACCATCTGACACTTCTGATCACCTGCAGAGACTTAATATTTGCCACTCCATTTGTATGACCTTCTGATCTCTCTGCCCTTGATCTCTCTGTCTATAAATTCTGTGTCCATGTGCTTCTCTTTCACTTCACCTGACGAAAGGGCTATGCTATGAAAGCTTGTGATTTCAACGAAGACTGTTGGACTATAACCTGGTGTTGTGTCACTTCTGAATTTGTCCACCGCAGTCTAACACCGGCACCTCCACATCATTTACTTACAAACACATTTAAAAAGACCCATCACATGATATGTTCATGAGATCAACCTCACCCAAACTGATGAATAATAAACTCATCCGGAATTTACATGCTGCAGCCTCTGAGCACACAGATCAGCCCTCAGTGAGACAAGCTCAAGTTGCTACATTGTTCATGTAAGGTGGGTGTGAGATTAATGAATAAATATGTTTGCACCACTTACGATTAAAGTGTCAGTGCACCCATGAGTACCCAATGCTGTTACTATTCACATTTCACCCTCACAATGTGCATTTGTGCCACGACTGATTTCAGGATATTCCATACACAGAAATTATTAGAAATACCCTTTCTTTGCAACATTCATTTTTTGATGTGTTTCAGATATTTATTACGTTCTCTTTTCACCTTCCTCCAGTTGTTCCTCAGTCGTTTATCCAGCTATTAAAATTCCATTCACACATCAATCTGCCTCTATTGGTGTAGTTGTATCCAGACGGAGACTATGTCACATCTAAACCATACAAATTTTATAACCCCACCTGCCGCATAATGTTAGCAATTCCACCTTTCTCACTGACACTGACATTATACCAAAAGAGTTTTAACTTCAGGAAAAGTTTCAACAGAATAAATATGAAGAAACTGTTTCCATTGGGAGGAAGGTCAGAAACTAGAGGTCACAAATTCAAAATAATAGGCAAAGGAACCACTGGGGGAGATGAGGTAATTTTACACAGTTGCGATCTGGACTCTGCTGCCTCCAAGTACAGTGAGAGTGGATTCAATTGGATTCCAAATCCAAATGGATAAAAGATTGAAAAGGAGAAATTGCAGGGCTTTTGGGAAAGAACAGGGGAGTGGGATTAACTAGACAGCACTTCCAATAAATCAGCAATGGTATGATGGGCTGAATGACCTTTTTCTGTGCTATCTGATTCTCTAATCTGTACAATCTGTCACTGTGTGTCTTTGTTTATACATTAACGCAATCACAAACTTCCATCTGTTGGATTTAGAATCACCTTGTTATCGGGGTTTAAAATGCGAATGAAATATGAAGTGAAACATCCCCCAGCACTAGGCCAGGCCAGAGAAACGTTCATCACTCACAGATATTGGCCGTCCCTTTGGGGATCGGTAGGTACGAGCCCGCTCTCCACCTCCGGCCGTGAAAACCTTTCTTGCATCGACCGCAGTCCGGCCCTGTCGTGTTGTGCTCACACTCACAGCTCAGCTTCCCCTTCTTCATGACACAGTTGTTAGCGTGAAGGTTGCACTTGCACCTGACAACACACAGCAAAAAAAAAGACCCGTTTAGCTCTGTCAGAGATCACATTCCCCAGACTGCCAGTCCTCTCTCCCCCCCACCACACCCCTCCCCGATACCAACTTCATACTGGAAACAATGAGCATTTTCCACCATACTGTGTGCATTTCAAAAGACAGAGGAAAGCTCAAGAACAAGTTGATCACTGAGTCAAGGGAACTATATCTAACCATGTGCTGTACCTGTCAATTTAAAAAGTACAGGAGCTTTACTTTCCATTTAAAACATTAGACGCGGCTTTACTCAGTATAAGGCTGTAGGGTCTAGGCCCGAAACGTCAGCCTTCCTGCTCCTCTGATGCTGCTTGGCCTGCTGTGTTCATCCAGCTCTACACCTTGTTATCTCAGATTCTCCAGCATCTGCAGTTCCTGCTATCTCAGGCTGTACAGTGCCTGTCCTGGTAATGTTTGGTTGGGTCAGTGTAGAGATTGCTTTAAGCTATATCTAACTCCATGTTGTACCGGTCCTACAACTGTTTGATGGGGGGTATTGTTCACAGAGTTTTACTCTGTCTCTAACTCCGTGATGTACCTGTTCTCTGAGCAATTGCTGGGGGCAATGTAGGGACAGCTTTTCTCTGCATCTAACCCTTCCTTTATCTGCCTTCGGAGTGTTTGATGTGACAGTGTAGAGCGAGCTTTACCCTGTATCTAACCCCGTGTTATACCTGTCTGGGGAGTTTTTTAATGGGGGACAGTGTAGAGATTGGTTTTCTCTGTATCTAGTCCATTCTGTCCCTGTCCTAGGAGTGTTTAAAGAGACAGTGCTGAGGGCACTTCACTTTCAGTTCAAAAGAATACAGGCAGCCTTAATCTGTACCAAACCCCATGCAGTCCCTGCCCTGGCAGTGTTTGATGTGGGTGTAAATGTAGCTTTACATTCAGTTTTAAAAAATGGAGGGAGCTTAACTCTGTAACTATCACCTTAACGTATCTGTCTTTGGAGTGTTTGATGGGGCAGTGTCAAGGAGGCTTTACTTTCAATTTTAAAAGAATAAAAGTGGCTTTACACTGTATGTAACACTGTGCTGTACCCATCCTGGGAGTGTTTGATGCGGATAGTATCAAGATAACGTTACTTCTATCTAGCCCGTGCTGTCTCTGTCCAGGGAGTGTTGATGGAGACGATGTAGCTTTGCTCTATAGCTAACCCCTCACTGCATTTGTCCTGGGAGTGATCAATGGGGACAGTGTAGAGGTAGCTTTACTCCATGTAGAACCTTTCCTGGGATTATTTGATAGCGACAATGTAAAGAGAGTTTTACTCTAAATCTAACCCTGTGCTGTACCCGTCCTTGGAGTATTTGATGGGGACAATGTAGAAATTTTGCTCTGTATCCAAAATGTGCCATCGCCCTCTCTGATTCCAGGAGAACCCGTACATGAGCAACAATCAGTACGATGCTCATATGCCCAAGCTGGCCCACCCTCCTGAGCTGGTGCTTGGTCCACTGTTGTTAGTCATTTATATAAGCGATTTGAATGAGAATATAGGAAGCATGGTTTGTAAGTTTGTGGAAGACACTACAATTGGTAATCCAGTGGACAGTGAAGAAGGTTATCTCAGAATGCAGTGGGATCTTGATCAGCTAAGGAGTAGCAGATGGAGTTTAATTTAGACAAATGTGAGGTGTTTCAATTTGGTAAGGGAAACCAGGGGAGGACTTACGCAGTTTATGGTAGGGCCCTGGGAAAAGTTGTCAAACAGAGGTACCGAGGGGTGCAGGTACACAGTTCCTTGAAAATGATGTCACAGGGAGACTGGGTGGTTTAGAAGTTATCTGGCATACTTGCTGTCATTGTTCAGACCATTAAGTACAGGAATTGTGATATCATGTTGAGGTTGTACAGCACACTGGTGAGGCCACTTTTGGGGTACGGCATGCAGTTCTGATCACCCTGCTATGGGAAGGATATTATTAAATTGGAAGATTACAGAAAAGATTTACAAGTATGTTACCAGGACTGAAAGTTTTGATTTAAGGAGAGGCTGGATAGGCTAGGACTTTTTTTCCCTGAGCAGAGAGAGTTGAGGGGTGACCTTACAGAGGTTTATAAAATTGTGAGGGGAATAAATAAGGTCAACAGCAAAGGTCTTTTCCCCAAGGTGGGAGAATTTCAAACTAGAGCGCATAAGTTTAAGGTGAGATAGGAAAGATTTAAAAGGGGCCTGAGAGGTAACTTTTCCACACAGAGGATGGTGTGCATATGGAATGAATTGCTAGAAGAAGTGGTAAAGATGACTACACTTACACCATTTAAAAAACCTATGGTCAGGTATATAAAAAGTAAAGGTTTGGAGAGATATGGGCCAAAGACAGGTATATGAGATGAGATAACAAGGTGTAGAGCATATGAGATGACTTTACTTTGGAAAGCCTGGCTGGCATGAATGATTTGGACAGCAGGATCTGATTCCGTGATGTATGAGTCTATGACTCTAAGTCTTTAAAACTTTGTGAGTGACTGAGCACTGACATTTAGTGACTCTGAATAAAAGAGGTGAGGACATCTCTTTGAATCTCCCATAAAGTGAGACAGAGTTCCAGATATTTCTCCTGTTAGCGTCTGCCCCAGATGTTCCCCAAGCTTGTGTCCACACTTGGTGACCCCAGTAGTGTCCCTAGATATTGTGCCTGATGATGCCTCACAAATATTGACCCTAATAATGACCCTAATGTTGATCCCAGATGTTAACCCTAATGCTGAGCCCCTAATTGTTGACCCTCATGGTGCTCCCAGATGTTCTCTGGGTGATGCCCTCCATATATACCCTTCCCCAATTGTACTCCCCAGATGCAAAGCCTGATCCTGTGCTTCCTGGATATGAAATGTGGGCTGTGACCCTGCCAAGAAAGGCATGTGGAGCTCTCACCGGCCACGGATGTCCAAGTTGGAGATGGCGTAGAAGTACTTGGAGAGATTGTTGGGGTCGACGCTGGTGGGTCCAGTAGCCGGCCGCAGCAGCCTGACCCGCAGGTCGGTCAGGGTGAAGAAGTCTCTCAGTTCCTTGGTGGTGTCCAGTTGGCCGTATAGTGAGGCCATGTCCCCAAGGCGGGGCCCCCCGAACAGGGCCAGGCGCTCCTGGATCTCAAAGCGGACCATCTTGTCCACCTTCCACACGTAGCCCCTGGAGTACTCCTCCGTGCAGATGATGTCCAGCACCGAGGCCGGCCTCAGATCCGGAGCCTTTCTCGGCTCCATCCCGAAGGAGTTGAGGCAGTCGGCTGCGTAGAACTGGTAGGGCTGCCAGCTCCGCCCATGGTCCAGAGACTTCTCCAGGACCATCTGCTCTGGCCGGCCTGACTCGAAGGTGATGATGATGTCCTCGGTCAGTTCAATGCTCTTCCCCCAGGACAGGGTGATGTTGACCACCAGGGGTCTGGGGAAACTCCTCCAGGACACACTTTGCCAAAAGCTGGTGGGAATCCTGCCTTCATCATCCAGCATCAGCTCGGGAGGGTGGGCCAGCTCGGGTGTGTGAGCATCACACTCGTTGTTGCACATGTACGGGTTCTCCTGTAAACAGCGAGGGCAACAACACTGGTTAGATACAGAGTGAATCTCCCTCTACATGATCCCTATCAAATACTCCTGGGACAGGGAGGGCACATGGTTAGATACAGAGTGAAACTCCCCCTACACTTCTCCATCAAATACTCCCAGGGCAGGTACAGGATGGAGTTAGGTACATTGTCCCCATCAAATAGAATTAACTCCACAGAGGCCATTATCTCGTCACCAAGTCACCCTTTATTTACACATAGAAACTCCTTGACACTGATCCTCCAATCCAGATCTCGGAGTGAACAGAACCTCTGATACTCCTGTTTACATCTGTCAGCCAGGGCTCTCTGATTTGACCAGATTAACAGCCCCAATCATGGAACTTATATTCTAGAGGTCCGTCTGGCTGAACTCATTACAATCACTACACTCCCAGGACAGAGAGCACAGGGTTAGATACAGAATAAAGCTCTGCTACACTATCTCCCATGAAGTACCACCAGAACAGAGATGTCACAGTGTTAGAGGCAGATTGATCCTCCTTTCTGCACTGCCCCCGTCAAACAATCCCAGGACACGTACAGCATGTGGTTAGATACAACGTAAAACTCCCTTCTACACTCTTCCCATCAAACACTCCCAGGGCAAGTACAACACAGGACTTGATAAAGAGTAAATCTCTCTCTACACAGTCCCAATCAAACATTCCCCCGAAAGTTACAAGCGCAGAATTAGATGCAGAGTAAATCTCCCTCTGCATTGTTCCTGTCAAATGCTCCCAAGAAAGTTACAGCACAGGGTTTGCTACATTGCTCCACCTGCAACACTAAAGCAGCCCACTCTCCTTTTTAAATGATCACACAGTTCCCTGTGTTCTAATGGATTCTGTAAAAATTGGCTGTTCCCAGCAATCAAACTAGTTAAAGCATGTGCTAAAGATGGAGAGTGTAGCAATATACAGAGACAATCAAGATTAATGAATCCACAATCGTCACAGCATCGTCTAAAGGGATCAACTAAAGCTGTCTAATGGCAAAGATTATTTTTAGCTTTCCATGTAAATCAAATTGAGTGAATATTCAAACAGAATCCTCAAGCTATTTAGAGTATAAATGAATAATTGAATAACAGCAATGTTAAATGTTCTTGAATTGTTGTTTCCTCAGTACATCATTAACAGCGCCATGTCCCAGCACTACAACAGAAGCTTGAATGACATGATGCAGTTGAGACAGTGATGGATCTCGAGAGTCAGTTCATGTTCGTAGTTCAAAAACTGGGATTATTCTCATTCCCTGACAGTGACACCATTTATCGACAGTACTTCCTGCTTCCCTTGCACCAGCTCCATATCACACCTGGACTCGATGATGCCAATGATCTCCCTGCCAGCATCCCACTTTCCAGTTTCTGTAAACTTTAGTTCATCTAAAACTCCGCTTCTCTTACCCTCCTCACACCTAGACCCATTCCATTATCACCCATTGCAGTCACTGACCAATGTTGGCTCCCATTCCAGCAACAACTCCATTTAAAAATGTTCATCCTTCTTTTCATTTCCCTCTATGATCTCAACTCCTTACCTTTTAACTCATCCCGCTCTCCCCTGATATCTCTGTGCTCCTCCAATTACAACCTCATGAGAATTCCCAATTTAAACGCTCCATCATGGCAGACTATGATTTCAGCCACCAGGGCCCTAAGTTCTGCAATTCTCTCATGAAACATTTCCTATTTTCTATTCCTTTAAGATTTCTTACAGCCCATGTGCTCGACAGATCACCTGTCCTGATATCTCCTTAAGTGACTCAGTGTCAATTTTGGTCTGATTTAATCTCACTGAAACACCTTGGGGATGTTTCACTGTGTTAACGGTGCTATATAAATACAAGCTGTCATTGTTGAAACAGGCATTAAATATCACAATCCAGCCCAGGCACGCGCACACACACACGCGCGCGCACGCACGCACACACACACACACACACACACACACACACACACACACACACA